CTCGTCCAAGTCTGCGAGCTGCAGCAGAATGCGCGCGTCGCTGGTCTTGGGGGGCAGCGACATGGATTTCCTGAGCCCACATCGGGGGGCCATCGATGCACAGACGCTTGCAAATAAAAAAAGAAGGGGGCCGTTTTTTGGTATCCGACTAAGCAAAAACGGCCGCCTGGGTTTTTTTCGGGGGCCTTCTTTGGCTTGATCTCCCCTTCTAGAAAAAAAAAAAAACGGCCGCAGGAGCCCAAGAGGGTTTTGGCTATGTCCCCCTTCTAGGAAAAACGACACCAGGGTCCAAGCAAGGCTCGCCGTAACATTGGCGACCCATGGGGACTTAGCGTGGTGGATTACAATGGTTGCAACTGGTGCATTTGATGGTGCATGTTTCAATTTGCTCCCAGGTTGGAGGTAAGCCACTCCCAAAAGTAAGTTTGAGGTAAGCCACGCATGTTTCTACCTTTTGTGGCAGAGCCAGGTCCAATGCTCGGAGAGGCCTTGTTGTTTGAGAAGATTTCATTGGGAGGGTTGTTGGCATCTCTCAAGCAATCCTCTCGTGTCCCCCAGGCTGTTTCCAAGCCGGCGCAAAATGCTATGTGATTCTGTCATGGGACACCGTGATTTTGAGATCAGACAAAGTATCATCCCAATGTGGTTTGTGATGGCCATTGGGGCCTCTCCCGAGATAGGCAACCAGTTCTAGCTGGTACTAAATGCAAAAAACGCAGACACAGCATACGCAACACCGGATCCGCCGCTTTTGCTATGGGGTAGGGATCATACAGCAGGCCCTAGAGCTCGACTCGGATTGGATCTTAGCCGGTTCTCCATAGGTGTCCGTTTTAAGTTTGGTTAAACATGGCTCGCACTGGTTTAGAGTCGGGTTTTGTAAACCATTTACCAGGAAAGCCCATCTATTTTGCCCAAAAGGCCAATGCCGTGGGCGAATCCTTGCATTGAAGGTGCCCCACGAGCCAACGCGCAAGGGGGGCCCACTGAGCTTTGCTTGCTCCTTGCTCCATGCTCAGTGCAAGCCAAAAGCCCCGCTTTCCAAACCTCGAGAAAAAAAACTTGCGGGCCACTGTTTGGCATGGTGCCTCCTTCAGAACCTACAAATGGATTCGCTGCAAAAAACAAAGGGAACCTTCTGACAACCTTCGTGACGTCGATCGACAAGAAACACGTTTGACATTTGCCCGGCATTGAACCAAACGCCCCGGTTGACTCCAGCGGAATCCCATTCGGGGAACTCCTTCACACCCGGACGAGGTGCAAAGAATGCGCCAGGCGCCCCATGCGGCTCATCCACCTCGAGTCACAGAACTCTGCCAGGTCTCCGTGTCCACCCCAACCAAACAGATCTCACAACTCACAGGCTTTGAAGTGCATCCCAAGCCGAGGCTTACAATGCTGGACAGGTTGCAAACTGGCCAGACAGATCTGCAAGTGTGTGTTTCTACGAACAAACCCCGAGCTGCTTGGTTGCTCAAAAAGTTTAACTCTTGGGGGGTTTAGTGGAAAACACCACTTCATTTCAAACAAAAAGTTAAAGTCTAAAGATCCGTTACCCAATAGCAGTCAAGGCTGAAGCTTGTCGGCCCTACGGTAAGCAACACCCAGACCGGGAGCCGATTCCCCGCTTGCGATATCCAACGGAGACCGGCTCCCTGGTCAACTGAAAGCGCTGACATGGTCTTCCTTTTCGTTCTGGTGTGACAATAGGCGAAAAAATATCAGGGGCGAAATACTTGGAACAGGCTTGCGGGCTTGAAAACCAAATGGGAGTATACCATGTAAAACACGGTTAGCAATTATTTCACCCCGGTTTGCTACATGGGTGTCTTTAAAATAGGGGAACCTCATGGTGGTTTTCCTTTTGGATTCCCCTTAACACCCCCCCCCCAAAAAAGGGGGACACGTAAAAAGAGGGCCAGGGCAAACGACTGTGGCTGTGCAATTGTTGTTATACTGTGTTGATCTGCTTGTGCGTGCAAGTCCATATTTGCTGTTTGCACTCGCGTTGCTTATGTTGAGCTCTTAATGACAAAGAAATGTTTAAATGTTAGCTGGTGTGCAAATAATATTACATTGGAAAGGACATCCTGTATGATGCTTAGATTGAAATAGGATACTTACTAGTTATTATGATTGGATTGCTTCTATTTTAGACTTTTAGTTGCAGTTAGCTTGACGTCGAGTAGAACTTGAAAAAGGTGTTAGCTAGAATGTCATAGGGAAAGAATAAAGAGGTCCAGCATGTAAATAAATGGTGCTTAAATGATGCCTGACTTGGAGAGAACATTCTAGTGGGAATAACATCCTGTGTGAAGTTTTGTTTTTAAATGGATGCCCTATTGTGCAAGTGCTGATTTAAGCAAGAAATTATGTTTGGATGCTGTCCTTTTTTGACTTATATCTAATTTCAGGTAGGAATTGAGTACCATTTAATCTGATAAAGATATTAGTATAATTTCAGAAGGAACGTTTAAGTGATTCTTAGTCTGGGTAAAGTCAAATTTGAACAGACAGGATTTCCCTTCCCATAAACGTTATCTACACTTCATTAATATTCAAACACATGATAAATTGCTTTTTGACCAGAAGTTCCTTTCCATAAACCAACATCTTTCCATAAACCAACATCCACTGGATCAGTCCTGAGGAGAACCAAAAACACAACAAATCTCGAGAAAACTGACAAAAACAAAAAACACTAAGCAACGACGCAAAAACAAAAATGCGCAGTGACCGGATTCTAGAAAGACTGCCTGAGGATTGGCTTTCTCGTTTCGGAATTTGGTGGTGCTACTCTGTTTTCTGGAGGTGAATCTGCATTTTTTGTTTTAAACGCCGGCTTGATCCAAAATAAAACAATAACACATATATATATATTGGTTTGGCCATGTTTTTGTTTTGTGTTGTCTCGAGGTTGTTTTGCTTTTTGGAAGCACTGGACAACCCGAACAGCAGAACAGGACAGACAGTTGAGCACATACCTGTAAAAAAAAAAAACGATCTACACAGGTCAAAACAAACAAGACAAAGTGCACTGCCGCAGTCAACAATTCTGCAATAACAAGAGACACATCCATATGACCTGTGCACCGAAAGCCAAGTTTGTTTGGCAAAAACCCATGGGCCAAATGTGTGGTGCATCCTTTAAGTTTGCCCCTTTTTGGGATGGTTTTTAAGGGATATCAAAAGGAACAGCACCATATTGGAGAGGTCCTCTAAAAACAGACGCACCCAGATGGAATCAAATTCCCTGGAAAAAGTCATACATCCAAAAAAATATCACCGAAAAAATCACCATTTTAGAGCTCCCCCGGATACACAATGACACACCCAAATGGATGCCTAGCCTCTTAGATACCCAACGATTGTCCCTTCCCTAGTGTTCATACTTTGGCCGCTGCTTGATCGCATGTCGTGTTTGTTACTTCGCCCGGAAGCAAGTGGAAACTCTCTGGGGAGGCTTGGACGTTTGACAGCCGTACACTTTGTGATCCCTGTTTCCCGTGGTTTAGACCCCTGCAGAAAGTAAACCTTGGCGAGTGGCGAAATCGTCAAGTTGTAGGTCAAAAGGATTTCAAGGTGCATGGAAGCAAGACTCCCCCAGACTAACATGGAAGCCTTGGCTCCCAAAAGGCCTCTGTCAATGCCAAGTCTTCCAAAGGGGTGGAACAGGGATCCTTACATGAAAAGCACCTGACCACCGCCTTGTAAATGGTGGGCTCCCTTTATTTTGCTGGAAGAAGCCATGTTTCAAATGGGCAAAGTGTATCTTTTAAGGAGCCTTGTGGAAGCTTTCATGGAATCTCCGGACGTGAGGGTACCAAAACTCAAAGTGTCCAGGAGTGCATGGCCGGCAGAACGTGGCACGAGCGAGTGAGAGCTACCATTGTACTGACCCACGTGCTGGCAACATGCAACCCGAAACAATCTGCTCAATAGGAATATCCTTTCTAGGGGCATATGGGTGTGGGTCAAAATTAGACCACTAGGGGACCGCAGGTTTTAGTCCATGTTTCCATTTGCCAGGGTTCATTTTAAATATCCTGTGTAAGGGGAAGACTAGAGAACTGGAATTGGACTCCTCCCCCTTATGGTAGGGGGGTGTTTCATCAGTACCTGGAGTCTCCATGACTTTTAAAAATGGGTCCATGACCCCGTTATTCTTTGGGTAATGCACCAGAGCTTAAAATTGCGCCTCGTCCTTCGCTGAAGCAGTATGAGGCGCAAAAGTCAAGCTTGGGCAAAGGAGCATCATCAGGAGTGGACTCACTAGGCATGATTAGACTTAGGCCCAGGTATAGAATGTATATTTTATTGTTGCTTCCCTTTGAGTCACTGGTAAAATGTAAGATGTATCCTAAGTCTAACCCAGTAGGGGGAAAGCTGTCAAGAAGGACATATCAAGCTCTTGCACGATTGAGGAAATCAGAAGGCAATCGCACGCTAATACAACCTTGCTCATCACCGACACTAAGGTAGAGCTAGAGGGGTGAAAACAAGCTAGGTCCTCCAGTAGAGAGGTTAGAATAAGTTGGTACCCGATGTCTATTTTCTGTTTTGTCTATTTTAGTAGGGGAACCGAATCTCCCAACCAAAAAAGAAACGGCTCCAAAAACACCTAGCTGGGGGACCTAGTTCGCCAGCATGTGCGTGTCGACATGCGATGACCGAGGTGCCCATTCAGGAAATCCTCCATGTCAGTGGAACTGATGAAACCATCGTGGTCGCAGTCTATGCCTGCAGCTGCGAAGGACATCTAGGGCGGCCAAAATCGCTCAACAGATTGTGTCATTCTTCCTTGGTTGCTGCAACGACCCGCCTGCACAAAGTGAAAAACTGTTTGGGGGTTAGAGGAAACACCCTCTGATTTCAACCAAAAAGTTAAAGTCAGATCCAACCCAATAGAAGTCAAGATTGTGTCATTCTTCGGCCCCCTCGTCTCCTTCTCAGGGTTCCTCTTACATCTATTCTTAGCTATTTGATATTGTAGTTATTCATCTCCGTCTGTGTTCTTCACTTTATCATACCTAGTATGCCTCTTTGTCATCATATCATTATTATTTTTTGTCTGCTTCTTATCATGAGCATTATGCTTTGTATTATCCTTATTCTTCCTATTCCTCCTATTCTTCCGTTTCCACTTGTTTTCTTTCGTGCCGCTTCTCCGTCTGATTATTTCATCCCTCAAGTCAACTTGCAGGATCTCCCGGGCTCCGACTGCAACGTAAAAACAGCTTTTTCACACGGAAAAAAAGGGCGGGGCGTCCATTTCTATTCCCATTTGACTCTTGTTCAATTCCCTTTGACTTGTGTTTAATTCCCTTTGACTTGTGTTTCTATTCCAATTCAATTCTGCATCATTCTGCTTGAATAATGTTGACCCCGGATTAAGCAGAACCCCGGTCTAAAATATGGGGGTGTCCCTGGTTTTAGTTTGGAGTTGTCGCTTTTGGAGGGGAACACCCCCATAGTAAGAAACAGGGGTTTATTAATCCGGGGTCAACATTACCAACAGACGATCCACCACGTTGAGACACTCCCATAATGTGGTCCTCTTTAATGGCCGGAGACAACCCCACAACCCCAGAAAGGAGCTAATGCAGTTGATAACCCATGCACATAGTTACGAACATGCATATTCGTATTTATATCTACATATAATATTTATATTCTGTGTATACATATATATATATATATATACGTATCTTGTACTGATTGTTTTTCTGTCTGCCTGTCTACCTGCCTCTGGTTTGTCTGTCTCCGTCTGTCTCTCTCTCTCTCTCTCTTCTGTATGTCTGTCTCTGTCCCTGTCCTTGTCTCTCTGTCTCTCTGTCTCTCTGTCTCTCTGTCTCTATGTCTCTCTGTCTCTCTGTGTCTCTGTCTCTCTTTCTGTCTGTCTTTGTCGCTCTCTCTCTCTCTCTCTCTCTTTGTCTCCCTCTCACTCTGTCTCTGTCTCTGCCAGTCTCTGCTTGTCTCCGCCTGTCTCTGCCTGTCTGTCCGTCTCTCTATCTACATATCTGTCCATCCATCTATGCGTCTAGCTGTATGTCGATCCATCTGTCGGTCTGTCTAAACTATCTATCTATCCATCCATCTATCTATCTATCTCGCTATTCATCCACCTATCTATCTATTTATCTATCTATCCGTCTGTATGTTCGTCTGTGTCTGTTCGTCTGTCTGTCTCTGCTCCTGTCTCTCTGTATCTCTCTCTCGTTCTCTCTCTGCTTCTGCCTGTCCGTCCGTCTGTCTGTCTACAGATACACCCATCCATCTATCTATAATATATGCATATACATGTAGAGGTATAATATATAGACACATGTATATATTTGTCATATCCATGTCTAACCATATAAATATATATCATTAGATATATTTCCATATATCCATCTATCCGTCAATCCATCTGTCCAGCGTTCCATGTACCCATGTATCCATCAATCATGTTTTTCATCCATCCATCTATCCATATATCCACCTGTCCATCCATGCATCCTTCTATCCATCCGTCCCTCCATCCATCAATCAATCTATTTAGCAATCGATGTAGGTTTCTTTCTTTCTGTCGACTCTATCTATTCGCAAGGCACGTACGCGTGCAATATAACACATACGAGGCTACTGCTTGTCAAGGTCCAACGCGGTCTTCCGAAGCGACTCAGCCCGTCCAAAACGCCCAGACTGCAACTTAGACACTTGAAGGGACACGCTCAAAAGAACAAAGTGTCCTGGCGTCCTGAGTTTTTTCAAGATTCTGAACGGTTGCTTTCCTCCAACAATGGTATTCCAAAAGGCATAAAGTCTGGGAACTTAAGGATTCCAATTGTTCAACCAAGAACGAAAGCAATTGGTGGACCCCCACCACCTGAAGAAGCAACACGTGTAGGGAGTTTCTTTTCACTTCAATGAAAACGAGGGAGTCAAGAGGTAAATGCTGCTTGGCCCGCCCCACTTTGCACTTCAGCTGCTGCCGGGTCGCTATCAAAAACTTGCCGCACCTGCAACACTCGCAACTTGTACAGATCTAGGGGCTGATTCCAACCATTCGTTTCAACCATCGATCTTTTCACAAACCGGAGCCGTTTTCCCTGGGTTTCCCAAGGTTTTCTAGAACGATTCGGATCCCTGGAAAGAATGGGGAAGGTACCCCTAGAGCAGAGGCCGAAATCTGTCAGTCTTCAGAGAAAAGAAAAAAACGAGGACACCTGTTCACTGCCCGACGCACGAAGTCCTGCTTGACAAAAGCTCCGGATCGTGTAAAGACCCTGAAGAAGGCCTCTTAAGAGGGTCTCTAATATGAATACGATTTTCTGAACAAAAAGGCAGCCAAGAAACGTCCTAATTGTGTGCCGCGACAAACAGGGTACTCCTCTCTGTCAAACTTTTTCCCGGGACGCATCAACATCCAACAGCCCGGTTATCTTTTCGTGAGCACATGTCCACTTGGGCTCATGTCAAAGGAACAGCAAGAATCGGAAGCCGAATGTCTGTTGGGGCAGGTCATCTCTAAACAAAAAGCATAGCCTTTCAGATTCGCCAAGCATAAACACCACTCGCTGAATGTTTGTTTACATGCCGCAAAAAAAGTCCTCTGGGCAAGTCTCAAAAAACGCAGGGTATTGACCAACGTGCCTTCTTTGGATCAGTCCAGTCCACGCCATTTTATAGGCGGCGCGACCTGTGACCACTCTTGTTTGATTTCGCAAAAAGGCCGAGCTGATTCATGTGCACCAAATCAGTCCCAACCAATCGGAACACCAACATCTACTTGGTTCGGCCAACTTTGAAAGTTGTTGGCAACCCTCTGGGTCGGTAACCTGGTTGTTCGCAACCTGGGTAACTTGGTTGTTGGTAGCCTGGGATTCTATCCCACTCTGAAGTCCCCAAGTGCAACGAACCCTCTTATTCTAGGTCCTCCAGATTTGAGAGGTTAGAATAAGGGCACCATGTTTGTTCAGTCTAGTTTAGTAGGGGAACCCTCCCAACCAAAAAAAGGGGTGAGAGGTCGGGCACCTGGGGGACCTCTTGTCTTGGTATGGGCCTTTGGAAGAAGATCCCTTACGGGTCCCGCAAAGAACGTCGCTGAAGCCAGGGGCTAGAAGACAGTCAGGGACCCTCGCCTTTCAGCGAGGAAAGGTAAAGATGGGCGTGGCTGAAAATAAAACGATCGGAGGGGCAAACCGCAGGTGTTGAAGTCCATGTTTCCACTTACCAGGGCAACCCATTTTGGTACCGGTTTTTTGAGCCACAGCCAGATAGGTGAATCAGATTCTTTCCACTTGGCGGTTTGGAAGTTACATGGGAAGCCCCTCCCAAAAAAAACACCAATCCAAAACTGATGGGCCAACAATCTAAACTTTTTGTGTGCCAGCAACATGGTCTTCCCAAAAAGTGAGTCAAGTCCATGAACCCTTGGGTGCTGTAGATGCCCCAGCAAAAAGTGAAACTTTTTACTGGTTAAAAGGATTATATGGGGGGAATCCAAAAAGCTAAAGTCCACAGATCCAACCCAATAGCAGTAGAGCACCAAACCACCGATCCAATCGCCACGTTGAAAACTCGCCTTGGCCAGTTCCGAGGCGTCCATTTTGCTGGCGCTCAGCAGCAGAACCACCTCGCTCGAAGCGGCCCCGGAACAAACAAAAACCTACTGATGTTTTTTAGGGAGCACCCCAAATCGGTGGTTTGCCTTGCGGTTTTCCTTTTAAACCAGGATATACCTTCAAGCAAGGACAAAAACCGTAGCGAAGCAACAAAAAGGGGTGACTTGAAAAACAGACACACCCATTTTGCTGGTTCAAGGGTAAACACACAGCGTCTCCCAAAAAGCTCGTGGTGAACATCGAGCCAAACAAGAAAATTAAGTTCATCCATATCTTGCAAGCATTTGGCCTTTGCCTTGGCTGCATGCCGTGGGGGACGTTTTTGTTTGCTAACTTCCCTTATTTGCCTTGTTATTAAGTTTAAAACAAACAAATGACAAAGCGAACATTGTAAGTATGTGGAGACGTAGGTGGGGACGTAGGTGGGGCCTCCCCCAACAAGCCGTCGCTGCCTTCGCTGGTTGCGGGTCGAGTGGCGCGCATCACGCGGGGCACCCGGCTGAAGCTCCGGAGGCCGTGCGTCAGCTTGGGGGTGGCGTTGAAGTTCTGGTAGCCCCTCGCTGTGAGAAGGTGTAGGTTGGGGTGGTGGTTGGGAGGTTGGGGTGGTTTCGGGGGGGGTGGGGGCTGGGTGCCTGGTTGGGAGGTTGGGGGGTTGGGAGGTTGGGAGGTTGGGAGGTTGGGGGGCCGAAATCGGCACCAGCAGGAAACTCACCCGAGGCGAAAGAGAAGGTTCACCCCACCAAAAGGAAACTCAACAAAGCAAATCAGCCGTCAATTTGAGTACTCCCTTGGCTCTGAACAAAAGCTTGCTTGGATCCGAACAGGATTCATATGGTTGAAGAAAGCCCTTCGCGCACCAGTCGTGGGTTGGGAACACAATGAATGTGAAATGTTGTCTTACCAGGGTGAGAATCATGTACTCAGGTGCGAATTTGCACGGGAGTCTGCATTTCGTTGAATGTGCTTTCAGCTAAGATAGAATAACTAATTACAAAGCTATATATATATATATATAATTTCATATTGACTATTCGACTTTATGTGTCGGGTACCCAAATGAGATAGAACAACAAAACAATTCAGACGGGTAAATGTTTTTGCTTATACGGTTGAGCACTCTGTCACTCAGCTAGAATTCGAAAACATGATATCTGATCTACTTATTGGTTGCCAGACAATTCTGCTATCCTTCATCTTTACCAAAGGCTGCTCAGGCAACAGTCACGTCATGTCACGTCCTTGAACTAATACGTTGATAAGCATCATGCTGCTCAGGCAATGCGTTTTCTACATGTGCGACAGTTCCTGTATTTGCTCGCTCAAACCACTCATTATTCACCCCAACCAGGCAGAATGAAGATCTATGCAAAACCAAGTTGGCTCAGCAT